AAAAAAAAACACCAAATAATAATTTATGACAGGTTTATGTTGAGATTAACATGGAACAGTAAAATTAAGGAGATTGTAAACAGTAAAAAGAAAATCATGTTGAGATTCTGCTCACACCTATAAACTAGTGTACAAAATGTACAATTAGAAAGTGTACAAATTTGCACAAGTTAGGTGTACAAGTTAGGAATTAGGTGTATTTGATATAAGCTGAAGTGTCTAAATTAAGAAGTACTCGAAAGAGAAACGTAATGAATTGCTTATGAGGACAGTTGGGATTGAGAGTTTCGTCATGAGTCAGATTCGGTTGCAAGTTTGAGCAGCTTAGATCTAATACTAAACATTCACGCTTTTGCACTAAATAACCATTGTTCATCATGAAATTCTTCTCATCGTCAGGAAATATCAAATATGAAAATTTGACGTTTCCAACTGTGTTTGAATGAAGTTTTTTCCAGTTACAACTGTGAAGAACACAGTTTTGCGATTCTGGAATAGTTTCAGAACTCTGTTCAGAATCGTTAGAAAATTGATATAATAGATATGGTTTTGGGAATGCATCATCGATCCAATTATTGAATAAATTCTCTGTTCAATTGATAATCCCTTTTTGCCGCTTGTTTGATATGGTTGTTTTCGTAGAAAGCCAGCAGCTTTTCGAAAACCATTTTATCCACAATAACAGTGAAAATAGCGGAATATGACAATTTGACATCAGTTTGGTTTGTCGACACATTTTTTCCGCCTCCATAATGTGTCATCAATTTTACTTTCGATTCTAGAGCAACCGTTAAGACAGTAGTAAAATAAAATGATGATAACAAATAAAGTGACCGAAATAATGCGCGAAAATTGCGAATCGTAGAACGTTTCAGCGTTAGAACGCCATCAACAGCCACTGTATTGTTTGATCATGGATATTACACTACTTTTTAATATTCTTGTTCAGTTTTTAAATATCCTTCCTCAAATAATAAAATAACTGATTATGGCGCTATAGCGCCGGAACATCCTACGTTTCTGCATTTTCTGTACATTATTTCGGTCAGTTATTCATCTATTCATTATCATCATTCCACTTATCTTAATGTCTTAATCGGTGTTCAACAGTGCACATCGCAATGCATAATCAACTGTTAATTCTTTTGTGCCTTTTTCAGCTTATTCGAACAAAGCTATATTTTTTTTGATTGTTTTATTAGCACAAACGAGGATCATAGTGATAACGTGGAAATTACAGTGACTAGTAAGTGAACCGGATATCATAACTGAATTACAAAATTTTGCATTTTTAGAAGTTGTTTGAAAGAAATGAAAAGACAGTGTAGCATCACTGCGATGCCGAGTCTAATAGATATAGGTAGGGCTCGATAAAGGAATAAAATTTTATCGTTCTCATACGGACGGATATCATTGCAGTAAAATGGCGTGTTGCCTCGATTACGTTCATCAGTGTCATTATTTTCATCTGAGAACAGTTCCACTGACTGACGTTCCAGTTCCCTCTGCTGTAACTGCTTCAGTCACAATCAAATTTTTGCTGAAGTTTACTGTCGTAACTACTGCTTATTCTAGGCTTAACGGTCGACGATTGGCTCTATCTGCAAATTGCATATGTGGACGTTTTTGTCTGGAAGTTCATTGCAGTCAGTAACTGTTCCATAGTGCACTCCTGAAACTGTGAACAGTTTTCTTTGCAACTCTTTATTTCTTGAAAATTTCCCTGAACTACTTTACATTCAGTACAAGAGCTGCATTCATGAAAATTCAGTCAGTTTCAATTCGTCTCAATAATCGTCCGCTTAAGTTTCATTCATACGTGAGATCGCCAATCTGAGCCGTTAAGGATGCAACAGTCGTTCATCTCATATCTCCGAGCGTCAGATCTTCCGATTCGTCAATGATGTTACCTCATAAATTTTCCACCTCTGCTTTGTGAGTTATGTTTTATGAATGAAATGCATTGAACAAGTCCGTCCGTCCCACTCATCAGTAATTTAGATCTCTGACAATCGCGCGTGTAAACGAATGCTTTGGTGCTTTTGAAAGATTAATACCCAAACTGTTTGCGATCATTTTTGATGACTTAATTTGACACTCACATGTATGTGTACTTCAAAAATTAATGTTATGAGTCAATTCATCAAATAGATTTATACGCAGTTAGGGGTATTGCGGAGCAATGATGCCAATGACGGCTATCTTCTATTGTTCGGATGCAATGGACATAACCTTGAGAATGCTTTTTTTTGCAGTTCATCTAATACTAATTTGAAAAGCTCATCATTGCAAACTGTGTGTGAGAACGTCATGATCACTTCAGTGAGTAAATATAAATATAGTAAATTGCACATAGACGAAATGCTGCGGGATCGAATCTGTGAAGATACAGATAACATTTTGGTTTCATTCAAATTTTCTTGAACATCACTCCCAGCGCATTCATTCATTGATGGAAAGGCGCCGTAGAAACCAAAAAAATTTTCTTCACGGGTTATTTCAGTTCCAGAAGCGGCTGTTATTCGATGTCAGCGTTTATCATAGCCACTGATCACTCTGATTAATTTTGTGCTTACAAAAAGATTCATGTTGAGGGCTTGTTGCAGTTGTGTTTTGTCGTTTGCAGGCAGTGTTGTAGCCATCACCAGTTAGAAGACAGCGAAACCAGTTAGATCAGTCATGAAACGAATGATCCATTCGAATGAATTATTTGACTGATTGTGGATTATTTCATTCAATTGCCATTATCAATCAATTCATCACTATGTGTGGATTAATTGATTACACAACTTCGACTAATTGTATCGCATATCAATTTTCATTCATTAACATTGCAGTCATTACTATCTATTTTAATGTTGCGTAATACATGTATAAAGACTGTTGTTTATGAGCGCAGTTACGGATGATTGTATGAAAAATGATGACAACGAGATGCTTAATTTTGTTAAAATTTATGGTCAAAGCTTTTTAATTTTAAGCGGTGAGATTCATTGTGAGCACGGTTGACGTTTTGAAACAATGGACGAATGTGGTTAGAGATTGATGATATCTAACGATATCTAACTGATTGATGTTTTTAATTACATCCGAATGGTTTCCAAATATGAACACCACTATCGCTCATTCTTTATCTCGGCGAGATGCGCTGTTTTCTTTCTATTGTCTAATTCTCATGTATTTTTACAATCGCTTGCAATGAATTCGAACAATGAATGTGGCATAGTTTTTTTGCTATTTTCAAAGGCATTTCGTTCGCAAGTGTTTTCGTTGAACTGAATATCTTCTGCTATCACTGAGGCGAACTTTGATGTGGGACAAATTCCATGAGATGATCACCATAAGTCTCTGAACATCATTACTATGGCCGTACAGATACAGTTCTAAGATTCTGTTGAGCCGTTTTTTCATATGTGAGAAGAGATATTTAAAGTGGAGCTTGAATTTTGAACATCTTCAATATATTTAATGAATTTTATGTAAGCACATGGCAGATGGTCATGAGCCAGCTGCTCGACGACTACTGATCATCTGCTTATCTTAAGAGCTGCATCTTTATTCAACCATTTGGTGAATCGCTTCACTTTAACCTTTCATGTAGCAATCGTGTCATCGTGATTGGCTGACTCGCACCATTTGATAAGCGTTTATATGGAACAGCAGTGGTGCCTGCAGCGTGATGGTTTTACTCTTAATCGTCTTATTTCAGATCTGAGCAAAACCAGAATTTGTTGATCCTATTAAAACTCACCAAATTGTTCATAATTGTATCGGTGCAAATCGAATTCTTTTGCAAATTTGCAATGGAGTGTTGAAAAACAGCGTGTTTGCGATAAGATGTACCAAACGCTCCGTTACTTCTGCCCTTCAAGTGCACTCATTTAATTGAATAATTAATTGATCCATATTTGCGTGTGCATAAATGTTGATTGCATGTTTCGTCGATTCATTCATGCATCATTTGCACTCAAAAATGTTTATTTCCACAACCAAATGCCCAGGCATAAATGGGAGTTTGAGTGTGAATTCTTTCATCGCAACTTGACGAGTACATTGGTTTCGTTGTTTAGTCTTCTTCGCTTGCGTAACCTTTGCTCTCCTCAAATCTCTCAAAAACATTCAGAAGCCCTCCTAGAAGAACCTTCCTGTGAAAATGCCCGTTCACATCATCTTTACGACGCATTCAAATGCTCGACTTTTCGTAATAATATGCACAATGTTCTTCGTTGAATGATGGAAAAATTAAATGAAATCATTGAATAGGATTCGAATGAGTGCGCTAAATGCATTTTAATCCAACTTGAGAATATTTTCATTTAGTCGTCAACAAACGAATTGATATTTGGAGTATTATTTGGATAAAAGAATAAGTGGATTATCTTACTGCTGAATTGATTTCAGGCATTATTATTATTGCGTTGTTACGTAGCGAATGGTGAATGTCCTTGACTATTTATATGCATTCATTTGCTTTTACATTCGTTTTGTTCATAAATGAGTTGTTGTGTTCGATTTGCTTGGCGGAGTTATTTGGTCATTTCACTCATTTGTATTTCGAAACTGCAGTGATGATTATAGTGATTTTTTTGGTGTGTGTTTTGTATTATCAGACGGTAAATCTGTTGTGTATGCAATGCGCGGTTATAAGATGATTTCATCGATATCGGTCGGTGATTTTTCAATACCGTGCGATCGACAATTTTATTGGAATGTTTTTGTTTATATCAAAGGTCAACTTCAATCTCTCTGCACTGAAATTCAACGAATGTGACATTCTCTCATCCTACAAAAATGTTCCATGAAATCATTGAACTCATTTTCAGTCGTTGCGCGATGACGGCTGTCCGTGATACACTCTGTAATCTGCGTCCACTCGAAATTCCTAGACCACACATTCCTGGTCTACAATTCATACCGACCAGAGGGCGTCTTGGCTTCTATAAGGTTCCACATTCTACTTAAATAATCTTTGATTCGGACACTTCAATATCTCTGAAATATTTTAAAACTGTTTGAATCGTGAATATTTCAAAAAACTCTTCGGTTCTACTGCGTTTTCAGTATTTCTTGATGACTGAACATCTTCGAATTGTATAAGAATACCGATTGTGAGTCTTTTTCGTGAAAATTTTTGCCAACTACAAGCAGCCTCATTTCAGAGCATTCGCCGTGATGGAGCTCAGTTTGGGTTACAAATTAAACCTATGGGACCACGAAGGCCTGCCTTAGCCGATGCATGCTGGGATCCTCCCGTCAACGCGTCCAAGCAGTCTAATCCAGAAACCAGCTCACGTCGAAGTAATCCTGATGCATCGAAACAGCTAAATGAGCAAAGCTGTGGAGAGCGACTCCGTAATAGTATGAACTCATCCGATGAAGAATCCCAAACGAGTAGCATAAGCCAGGTAAATGGAAAGAAAATTTGATATAGTATTTATCGGTGTTGAACAGCAGTATCTGATTAAGTATATGTCTGTTCGTATTACTAACTTTAAAAGCAATTAAATATTGGTATTATTTCTCAGAGTGAATCTGATTGATCCGTACTGAAGCAGATAAAACATTATAATTCAGTAATAAGCTAAGTTCAGTTACGTAATTCACTAATAAGCTGATTCAATAAAGCTCATTCGTTTCAGTAGGAAACACACCGCAATTATTGATCAGTAGGGAAACATGTCATAATTGCATAGTAATATGTGATCACACAAAGTCTATACATGAATACTCTAGAAATGATCTTATGCATTCGAAAATAAGTCGCTTTTTCAGCTCTCAAATTATTCAGATGGATCAGCGTCCACAAGAAATTCGCCAGTCGATGAACCGGAATATCCAGAACCCGATTACGACATAATCACACCACCGAATGTTAAAACAAAATTATGTGCAGATACAATTAATAACTTACGAAAATTTTGAAATCTCTTTTGCTTATAATGGTGTTCGCTTAACAAGGAGATTGCTCGAAGGCTGAAAAGAAAGCGTTGATCATAACGCAGGCAGTGTTCTGGTCTGTTGCCGTTCTCGTGAAATGAGATGAGAATCGGTGAATCAGTGTGGAATATTAAACGTCAAAACATTTAGAAATATTATCGCTTTTTCCCCGTCAAAAAGTATATTCAAGCAATCTCATCGGCACCGAAATCATCTGTTCGTCATATGTTATCCATTTCTGAATATGTCGAAAATGAAATTCGAACTCTTTGGTCTCACTTTGGAGTAAAATGCCGTTCGAATATCAGTTCTATTTGCATAAGCATTGTGCTTCCTGTTTCATCTGAGTTTTTGATATCGAAATTTTAATTTTCACCTGCTGTTTGTATAATAGCGTCGTATTCATTCTAATTGTTTCTTTTCCAAATATTTTATTTATTGGTGAGTGTTTATGTCAAACACTTGTTCATTTTTCACTGATCTAGCAGCTTTGACGCACGGTTCGTTCTTAGCCGTTGGCTGGTACTGTCTGCTGAATCTACAAGCAATGAAAGCGCTCAATATTAGTGAATTTTTAGCGACTTCTTAAACGCAGCATGGTTAAGCTGTTGAAGCGTAGAAATAATGCATTTGATAATCTGGGTCAGTGGTTCTCATCTGTATTGTTCTGTGTCTTTTCGCATTGGCCTCATAGCAGACCGCTGTTCTGTCTTGTCAACAATCCACAATGCGGCCTCCTTCGTGCATTGCAACGGTTTTACTTACCGGTGACATATACAAAGAAATCCATTGAATTGCTTTAATGGTCGCGAAGATTAATGTCAGATGTTGTTGAGGACGTCATTTCCTTCTTATCAATTAGCATTTTGAAGAAATCACTCAACGTGTATGGACGGAACTCAAATGAAATAAGCCGACAAAAATTTGCCCATCCCACCTCTGCAACTCTCTTCTTAACAGTCTAAAATTTCCTAGCAGAGGAAATTCAATCCTCCGTATGAGAATGACTGACCTAGATCAGATTATTCAACCGATGTGTTTCGTTCGGCGCCTTCAGTGCTCCTTGAACTTCTTTCATCGAATAAGACAGTCTCAGCAACAACTGAACTTGGAGATCTGAACATTCCAAGTTACATTGCAGCAATAATGATCGAAACTCCTGCAGAAACTTAAGTAGGAGGTCGAAATAATGCTGAACACATATCATTCTTACACGAGAAGTTGATATTCAGCAGCCCTAGAACGTCACATATTCGTGAATTTCGGTGAAATTGTCTGAATCATTACAAACTGATTTTTTGGAAGATTTGTTCGGGAATTAGCCTAAGTCAGCCAAGTCGCTCTGAAGTTTTGTCTTTAATGGTTGAAAGAGCCTCATCCCTGTTCCAATTACATATATGAAGCACTGCGCTGAAAGGTTACTGTGTTCGTCAGTTGATTTTAGCTTTATCTTCATCTTATCCAGAACGACAAAAGATCGATCCTATATGAGCATTCATGGAATGATATTATTGTACAGTGTTTATTGGTTTCATGAGTGAGAGGCTCGGTTTGATAATTAGGCCAGGAGAGCTCGTAGCTGATCGTGAGATAAATTACGATGATTTTGAGTTTCTGCCTAGTTTGCCATAAAATTAAGCACTTTCCACACGTTAAATATTCCAATGTTGCATTGCGTAACTGTCAGCCACAAAAATGCGTTTTCAACGTGAGAAGTCGAGGTAAATGTAAGCAATGAGCGGTAGATTGCAACTAGTCACTTCACACAATGAATGTAAAGGTGGCACAATTGTGGTCATGCCACGGTATCATCACGAGTTGCAGTGAACGAGAGTGGACGTCGTCATCTGAGAGAGATATTTCTTGCTTGAATTTATAGGTTATTTGGGCGACTAGCCTCTCATGCATATCTGATTCATTTTAATTACTGTTTTTTGGCTTTTCTTGAATAAAAATAGATATTAATTTGTATCATTCGTTAATTAAGAACCAAGTATGCATTGTCAAGGTGAATGCAAAAGACCTGTCAAATAAATGCATTTCAAGTTATATTTAAAATGAATTTTGATTCTGATTGGATGACATCCTCATAGAAATCATCACGCTTATTGGTAAGGGATGAAAATTTACAATCAAATCTGAATTTGGCAGAAGAAGGTTGATGTTTGAAACGAATTAATTCGTTTTCTATAGGTTCCGTTCAGTTTGAATTTACAATTTATGCAAGCAAGCAAAAATTTGACTTCATGAAAAATTCATCGATTTGAGTGATTTATCAGAAAAAAAAACTCTGAATTCATTACTTTTCTCTAGTGTTATTCAGCCGGTGGCCTCATCAGTTCTTTTCTTCTGTCAATACCCCCAATTCTTCTAATCGTTTTCATCTTCGAATTCAGGTATGTCATAAGAAATTCTTGAATCGAGAGATTGTTCAGTGATAATGAATGGACTGCATTATTGCGTGATTAATGACAATCAATAATATTTTACAACTTTGATAGTCTTTCATTCAAACTTTTCCAACAAATCATCATTCGGACGGAACTATTTTTTTGTATCTAACAAAGCGTTGGAAAACTGTTGCTGATCTCCTTGTTCATTTCGATATAAAAACGATTGACCGTAACACAACTGCATTGCATTGAAAACATTCAGTCAGAAACATTCACATTCTGTAAAAATATCTATGCTTCCATTTGTTTCATAACCTTCACTGAACTCGTTGAGTATTCTTCTTTTTTTTTCAAGCACGGTCCAACGAGGTGCCATTTTAGAAGTGCATCAGAATGTCAGCAAGTTCTTTCTCGCCTGATAAACCGCCAGATGTGTTGTTGGGTTAGCCATGCATCATTATCAAGCAGAACTCGTTAGGCATTACACTGTCATGGTGTTGAACTGTGATCTTTTAAATTGCTGAAATAACTTTGAATTGCCCGTGCGAAACTAATGACGTTCTTCTGAGCGCAACAGCGCCTTCATCGTGAACCGAAGTCTACGTTTATATCTAAGAGCAACGTTAGAGTTGTATAGATTTTGAGCGAGGGACATGGAGAGAATCGATCACTTGAAATGCGACGTGATGACTTACGTTAGTGGAAACAGATAAGCGCTCGAACACATTCTGAAAGATTCTGTGATATAGCTAAAATAGGTGATATTTTTTTGTGGATACCCATTTGCGGCCTAACATACAAGCGATTGTTCGGTGAGGTTATTGATCAGTCGTTTTGTTTCAGGTGTCAAAAACTCATCAACTGAACAAACTGCGGTCAGTCCAAGTTCATCTGGATGTGCCCTTACACCAAAATTTGTCGCTGTTGAACCGCTGCAACTCATATTCGAACCCAACAATAAAATGTTACAAGCAAGCATAAAAATAACGTTCGTTCCTGAATACCTCAACGTGATTCACAGCCTTTTTAAATTCACGAACGATTGATAGAATCACGCTCTGAGACTGCTAGTAACCAGCATAAACTGTGAATCACCTTCAGAAGTATGAATCCGAATCGTATAGCGTGGAGAATTCGAACGAATGCACCAACACGTTATGTGGTTTTACCTACGAGTGGCTTCCTAACTGCAAATGCAAATGTTACTGTACGTTTGAAGCTGAACGAGATCAAAATCAGTGGAACTGTAGTTCTGATTCAATTTCAGTTGCATCAGCAAAGTGCTGGACGTTTGTAGGTTCAAATGTTAAACTGAGTTTTGTGTTTCGATAAGAAATGATCAAACAATGAATTGACATGGTATTACATATTGTATCACAAGGAGGAATGAAATCGCATAGCACTCGAAAACACTCCTTCAGTCACGCATAACACTGATCGATCCACGAAAGTACCATCGTCGTCACCGTTTCATGGTACAAGCGATGGAAGCAAAAGATAACGAAAAGGATCGAAAGAAGATTTGGGATGATGAGCGTGCAATGAAATTAGATGTGGTACAGTCTATCCGCATTTCAACATCGTCAGTTAACATGCATTCTTATGATAAGCACCATAAACTATCGAATCTTAACGACTAGGTCAAATCGGCCGTATATCGCTCATTATAAAGTTGCATCTCGATGGGAATGTGCAGCTGCATTATGCAACTTCAGCAGTTAAAATTAGTCCATTCAAAAGATTGTGTGATGATTCTTCCAAAGAACCGTAATTCGAAAAAGATGCGTTCGTTCCGGTGCCTGATGTTGTAGCGCCGTCACTATGGGCACAACACACGTTACCATATATTCACGCTGAATGGCTCTCACTTACAAAGAGATTGAGTGACACTTGGTAGCACAATGCAACAAAACGCTGAGTCTAAACCTGACCATGAGTCCGAGCTTCTGACTAAGTCTAGCCCAGCCCAAGTCTAATCCTAAGCTCAACTGTGTGCCTAAGCCTGAACGTAAGCTTAAGTCTACGCCTAAGTCTAAGCTTGATTGTGAGCTGAGTACGAGCCTCTACCTAAACTAACAATCTTAAGCCTGAGTCTAAGTCTAAATTTACGCTTACATTAACTGGTGCTAAAACTGCAGTCTCAACGGTTTCTTACGATGCACTGAAGCCTAATGCGTTGCATTGTAATCCTCGTACCCATACAAGCATATGGAATACACGCTACTCGGGGACTTTGCGTGATGTTAGTGATGAAGATACTCATTCAAGCCAAAAACAAATTACGAGTGAAATATCACGGTGGATTCCCTCTCAGGCTTAGACTTATACCGGTGAACCATCTAATTATTTGATTGAAACCTTATTGTGGTAGAACAGAATTACCAGTTCTTTCAATGGATACCTCAGACCGATGTGAAAATAACCTGATCCTAAGTCCAAACGCCATTTTCACCATTCAGACAAGATATCGCTCAGCACGACAGTTGCAGTGGGAAAAATTAACCCATAGCGTCTCTGCGCACTTAAACGACAGGTCATGACTCAATCAAAAATCATTCTACTGAAATGGTAACTATCGTGAAGGCACCACTAGTCTATCGATTCCATTTAGCAAATTGATTGATTAATAAAGCTATCGATTTTTCGAAGCAACATCACACTCCCCATTTGAAATATCTCACATTGGATTCTTTGAAAATGTCTATCTGATTTCCTTTAATAATGATTTTCAATGCAGCACTTTTCTGGCCATTCAAAATTATATTTGATCATCCAAAATACTCACCAATTTTATATGAGTGCAAAAGCGTTTTCAAGTGAATTGTCAACTTCAGTGAAACATCCTCACTGAAAACAGCCGCCGGAATTAGCAGCAGTACGAAAAGCCTATCATCAGTCTCAACGAACAAGGGTCAGCAGTTGTCTGAGTCATCTGCGTCGAATCTGTTGAATGCATCAACAAACAGCAGCACCAGTGATTCGTCTGAGTCGTTACCTTTCGGTCCAGTGAGTGATAAAGCGACGAATGCACCTGCGGCCGACGATTCGGATTTTGACTGTGCACAAAAGATTGAAGAACTTACTGAGAAAGTGAAAATTGCTATGAGTCAGTTGATTAAGTTTGCGCATTTTTATGAAACACTAAACAGAGTTACCAAATTTTTAAAAACTCAGAGATAGCTAAAGGTTTACGGCATTCCAATAATTCAGTTGTTGTTTTTTTTTNTTTTTTTTTGGAAAGCGTACATTATTTGACTGCGTAACTTCGTGGAGCATACGTAGCATTCTTTAGCATTATTTGACAGCGTTTTCGGCATAGGATTATAACTGAGACATTAGACTGCAGCGCTTAGTAACGTTCAACCAAAGCGCTCAATTGTCGTTCTCTCGCAGATCGCTTCGAATGATTACTCACTCCCTGCTTGCATCGATCAAAAATACGCGTGAGAGCACTGATGCATTTCTGATCGGTAAAAAATTGCTGCAAATACTCGCAGAGCTACAGTTGAAAAATTTGATTGGTTTCACAGCGAGTTGGTTGTTCGGACTTATTTTCAGGTGAAAAAGTAAAAGAAAGCCAAAAACTGATCGACGTTGTGAATGAAGTCAAAAAAATTGAAGTTGACTTGGATCGAACCGGTGCACAGTGCAAGGACTACAACGATAAAGTTGCCTATGAAGAAGCACAATGCAAAGTGAGCATTTCCACTAAAATGATTCGCATCGTTTGTTCATTTTTCAAATCCTTGAGTTCAAAAAATCTAGATGAGTGATAAAAGCCTGAACGTGAGGTTGAACCAACCAACCAACAGAGTTTCACATTTGAACCGATACCAGTGGAGACCAATATGACAAAGATAAATTCGGAGGCGTGTGGAGCCGAATAATTTGAATAACCCCTCTCTGTACCGCAACTTCCCAGTATCCCCTTTCAAAAAAAGCTCATTTCCCCATTCCCTAACAAGAAACACCTTCACAGAAGCAGTCCGCCACTATTCCCATTCTGTTATGAACTTGAAGTAAACGCATCAGTACAGGATTAGATGGAATTTGCAGGCGATTCAAGAACGATGTGACCAAATCAATAATCAAATTCGACGGATCCGTTCCGGATCACGGTGAATAATGTGAACAACGACTACTTTAAAATGTGAAGACTCGTGTGTGAGTCATTGACTATTTAAAACACAAAGAATTTTTCTGCAAATCATTCTCATGTGTGTAATAATCATCGTTAACAAATTTTGACAATGTATATAATTTACTGCAACAACTCGAATTCATCACATATTTATATGTAATAACAATATGACGACGCGTAAAAGTACCTTTAAAAAATTCTATACATCCATCCGATACAGTCACATTAACCAAAGTTCATCTTCAACCAAAAATATTTCAACCAAAGTTTCATTTCAAATGGAACCCCGCAAGACAACGAAAACACGTTACTGCTCAGATCATCGTTCAATGCACTNCAGACAATTATATACAAGCCGAATCACAACCTAGCTCAGGCTCGATAATATCAACAATACTGCTACATCGTTCGATTTCCAGTAAAACTTCCTCTCCACAAGATTTGCTCGGAAACGAGTGATGCATTAATGTTATTAGTCTAATATCATTGATGAAGACTTTTCATATTCCCAAAGAACAACTTCAACTTATTCAAAGTCGTTTGAACAATACAGATTGAAGGATGTTGCTGGTTCAGCAAATTGTAAGAAGATGATCGAGAGCGATCGGTGCCCATTGTTGTGCATCAGTGTTGAATGCGAAGATGACGTTACGATCCAAATAAATCGACATATGTCCAAATGTGAACACCCGTTTACCATCGTAGAACTTATTACCTTGAGGCGCAAACAAAACGCCTGCTTGACGTGCTCGTAACTCAAGTACATCCTGCAAAAAACGTGCCAACTTAGTTTTGGCATCAAAAACATATTCTATTACCATATGTGCGCGCATGACTAGAGGAGTTGCAAAATAGATTTCGCGCGAGTACAACGAATGTTTCCTTTTATATTATTCGAGAGTAATATCCACGAAGCGAACATTCCGGTTGAAAAAATTTATGCCTCATCGAGTAATGACACTTCAAAAAAAAACGGTTAATTTGGTCGGCTAGAAGTATGCCTCCAGAATTTATAAATAGGACAAAGAAAAGACAATACAGGAATATTTTGCCAAAATACTGCTTAAACTGAACAAATGATGAGGGAAACAAAACCGTACTTTGAAGGAGAGTTGTGACTGCAGTGGTGGTGGAGGTCGATGAGGTAGTCCAGGTGGTGTGCCACTGTGCATCATACCAGATGGCATTTGTGGATGTGGAGGTAGATGAGCCGGAGAAGCAACACTCTGAGGTTGGGGTTGACGACTGATGCGTAGTCCTTGTTGAGCTTCATTCATTGCTAACAGTGCGCGCATCAACTGTTCTGAAAATGATTTTTCACAATACCTGATCCGTATCCCATTCAACGGTAGCTTGAAGGAGAGTTGTGACTGGAGGTCGATGAGCTAGTCCAGGTGGTATGCCACTATGTATGGATACTTTGTGATACTAAGAAATATGACTATTGCTTGAATGTCAATCGCAATATTTACTTCCAGATATAGTTTTGAACTGAACACGTCACGCAACAACCCAATGCTTACGCTTTCATGGATTTCACAGACACGTCAACTAACTTTACAATAGAAAGATTTGATAAAATCGACAGTGAGCCTTTTCGCTATCGTTCAAAATTCGGTGATTCAATCAAGAGAGTCATTTACTTTGTGATACTAAGAAGGTTGCCACTGAGAGTTCGTTACAAGTGACATGATCTTCTGTTACAGAGGTCAGCAAAGTATATTCCTGTCATAGGATAAAGTTCATGGGACTTTCCCAGGCTAATTGTAAGGCTACGAAGTATTAATCAAGATGGGTTAAGTTTCGTTTCGTCCGAATATGACCGTCAATCCGACGCATGGCCGTCACGTCACAACTGCACTTAACGAGTGAAAACAATTTTCTGATCCCGAAATTGTACGAAACGGATCACTCACCGGCATTTCAAAATGGAAGAAAGTGAAGAAAAAAACGAACCTCGAATAACGTGAAGTGACGAGATTTCGATTGGAAATCGACCTTTCCATTCGTTATACCACATCGCCACCTCTTCCATTACCACACCAGGCGCTTCTAACCACATGCATAATGTTTCGTACCACTGCAATTCACCAGCTTATTTCTTTCAACTTATTTATCATTGTTATTATGTTTGTTACATATTACTTTCATTTATTATCCAATGCGTTCACGAATGCTAAATACTCAATCGACCAAACAATAAATAATAATGTTCATCATGCACACTCAATCACAGAATAACACAACACGGAAACTGTTAATGCTATTTCAGGCAGCAGTCAGCACTCGAACCTGCATCTTTATAATACCTTATAATAATATAGAATACTAAAATATACTCCGCTCTATACTCTAATGCCAAACAATCAATTATATATTCATAAAGTACAAATCTCGACCCATTAGTATTCCTTTGTGAATTAAGAAAGATTCATAAAATAATAAATATATCTCATAATAAAAATGTCAGAAAAAACTTACCCTCGGGAAGAAACTTCTTACGAAAATACCCGCAATATTATCGGCACCCAACATTTCCACCCACGACAAGGTTGCATAAAATTCATCATAACGCTGAAATATTACATATCATATTCTTGACGCAAATCGAAACCGTTCGCATCAATTTTTCTGCGATTAGTAATGAGAATACGCTTTAAACGTATCACTGAATAGGCGTGACCAGACCAGTGCTCCAATAAGAAGGAAACAAATGTTTTGATCATCATTCAAATTCGCTCTGCAGTAGTGCAAAGCAATCAATCATTGAATATTTCCACGAGAACAAAACCGGGAAAAAACCTTGTTCTTGGTGGGGTCAAAATCCATTTCGCGTAACGCTTTTTCGAGTTTTGGTGTGATATTTTGCGAGAGAAATGCTGACATTGTTGCCGCTGCGAAGACACCCTTCCATGGACGAAGCATCGATAAGGCGCTGTAAGATTGATGTGCAAAAATGGACTAGGTTAGTACTCAAACAGTATTAGTAATGACGATAAGAAGGTCGTTACAATTACAAAGCGATTCAGCCGAACGCTTCATGACAATCTGATCACGAAAAAAAAANAAAAAAAAACCATCACTTTCATTACATAAAAATGTACTGATAACAATGCTAACATAATCACTAAGATAAACGAATCAACAAAATTACTGTTCATCTGTAAAACTCAGATGAATCTGGTACGCCCAAACTGATACAGACACATTTTTACAATCGCTTCCAAATGTATTTGAGGTGGCTGCAAAAATCAGTCTCCATCCGTCTGAGCGTTCAACTAAATTTTTTTGAAAGAATCATTTCTAAAGATAGCCAAACAATCGCTTGGCACATATTTCGTCACTTACCTATGATCCGTAGGATTCCATTCTCGTAGTGCCTTTGCTAGCTTTTGGCGGATAGGTGAGAAGACTGGTTGCAGACGATCACCCATAATATCGAGCCATGGATGCATCCATGTATGAATTGGAATATGGTCAATCAACGGATTCCATTCCTCGACTTGAGCCGAAATGCGCGGGATCACTATCTAAAATTTATGAAGTAGAACATATTGATTCACACACAGACAAAGTCACATGTTAATTATCTAATAAGAAAGAAACACAACAAAAGAAAACTACAAGAACTTTTCAAATAATCGTTTGCCTCCCGATTAAGTGTATTTTTTCGCCGTGAACTGAACCAACCACNAATCTAATCACTCATCAACAAAACGACGAGCCAAATGTACAAACGAATAGATGACCTGTTCAAGAAGATTCTCGCGCATCCAAATTGGCAGCAACGACAACCATTTGTCGACTACAGACAACATCGACGTGGCATCATCTCGTGGATCCCACCTCAACGCTGCACGTCTTATCGCTGGCATCCAACCATCCCACAGCAGTCGCTCGAACGGAGACAAATTTTCTGCATAAAACAATGATATCACTTCTATGATGATCTCTTCTTACTGAAGTTCGGATGCTAAACTCGGAGATATTTTAGAGAACACTAACGTGTGGAGAAAACTAATGATACACATTATGCATGACGTTCTAAAAGCTCGACGTCTCAAAGCTCAGACATATCAACATTCAGCTAATTGTTTCTTCACAAACAAAGGGTGCATTTGTAGATAGTTGGGATGTTACTCCTCCGGCTACACCATTCAATCACTGTTTGTTTTTGAAAAAATCTTTCCTTCAAAATAACACTTCTCATCAGCAGGTTTCGACAAATAAAAATAATTCATTCACATAGCAATTTGAAAATTTCAGAAGAAATATCCTCCTTGTGAGATCGGCGAAAAACAATGAACTCAGTCAACTAATTGAATATATGCAACGTTCGTATAATTCTCAGTATTCACCTAAACTTTTCGTTGTTCCTAGCACGAAGCGTTCTTCAGCCTCCAGAATCTTTTTCCAATCAGCCATTAGCGCATAACCATAATCGACTTGTTTCTCATCCAACGGATTCCATGACGCGAAATGTTTTTGAATCTGAAACGAACCGATCATATCAACTGTTCATATCGATGACTAGTAAGATCGCTACTCTAGCTCTAACTTAACTGATAACACTTTCAGAAACACTCACGCAAGCTATTCATAATATGACCAAAATGATCTATTAGGATCAACTTTATGGAACACAAAAAGAAGGAAGACAGCGTGTCAGAGCATTGAAATTCGAATTTGAACAGCCGCCTATGCATGACACATCGATACCATCAAATCTTAAAANAACAAACCAGTGGCAATACACTAGCGACTGCCACTTGATCCAGATTGAACAATCGATATTCCTCATAATAATCTTTCTGTAATTTTTCGAACAATCCACGACATTTCTGCAGCATTGGCTCACTGTCACTGTCGCTGCTACCAACCTCGATGCCTCTTGAAAAACTGAAGTGGAAAATTTATTTCATCACAAATCTACCAACCAACTGATTTTCAGTCGCAGTTCATTTCGGCCTAGTTGCTCAAACTTACTAAATCCGAACCACTCACGAAATTCGGCTTGAACTGCAATGACTGCTTTCGCAAACTGAATCATTCTGCAGCTACCAATGGATTCGATTTGGATTAGATTCACTACATTTGGGAATGAAATGAGATGACATGAAAGCAAGAATCGATTCCGAATGCAACAAGCACCTACACAATATGGACAGATTTGAATGTAACAATCTCAGATTTGAAAACAGTAAATTTCAGATCTTCACTTCTCATTTGCGATAATCAAATGAATTTGAACAGAAACAAACTTCTCCAGCATCTCCAAAACCTCCTTCATTCGCTTCTGTTCATCACGCTCCTTCGTCAATGCCACATTCAACTGCACTCGATCGTTCTCTAATGCTGTCGTCTGATCCTGCAATCACCTCTTTTTGCGCACACAAAATGTTACAATCGATATGATTTGCCACAAGACGATGTTTCATCTGTGGAGGATTTTTCTGCGAGCTGATGTGTTCAATTTCGATAAGATGAAACTATGCGAATCACACGATGCAACTATCGTACATTTTTAATCGTTATTACTGTTATGCCGTTTAGATAGAACAGTTTAATTTGCTAATGAAACACAAAACCGAAGTCACTGATGCTTCATTCAATGTCTAAGGCAGAGTTTGGCGATGAAAATCGAGAAATGTCATGTGTAATAAGTGACATATTTGAGAAGATTCCTTCATCACTGAATCTGAAACAACCGATGAAATGCTGAAACAAACCTCAAGAAAACGTAATTGATGATTATTGGCGCGTATCGTTTCTTCAGTCATATCAACCAACGCATTCAAATTATGCATCAACTCGGGCACATCGAATGCGAGGTGCTCTTTTTCTGTTTCGGCAACTGCTCTGTAAACAAAAGACATAAACCATGTTCTAATTGTTCAAGAAGAGCAATGCTGCATCCAGAAATGCTTTAATCATTTCTGCTGTCCTCAACGTTAACAATATTACGCAAATATTCCACTAATTTGTTAGNAATCGTATCACTGATACAGATCGAGATCTATCAATTTGCTGAAGGTTATCCAAAACAATAAGTCGTCAATACTCTTAATTCATTTTTGACGGCTAATTAAAACAATGTCTTATCTTTAAAAAAAACCTTGTACAAACGTATTTCTTGGATGGAAATAAATTATCATCAACGAACAGTTAAGTACAAACCGTGTTTTTGCAGCGTATGCCTCATATCCCGAGTACACTTTTTGCTCTTTTCCAGTCATATCGATTACCTAAAATGTCAATTTCAAATGAACTCTAACTGATTCACACAAAAATATTTCAAAATGTTTATGGTGCAATGGAAGACTAATTTAAGCTTTCAGTGGCGGAATCAGTATGACCTTCTGAGTGCTGATAACACGAAAACGATGGAAAAATTGAATGACAATCCTAGTAACATCATGCTCATATGTGTCAATCACCATGCAAAAATGAACTGAAACGATTTAACAAAAGATAAAAATAATCGAGCGCACTTTGATTCCAGAAGACACTTCGAGTCGTTTCTTTAGTGCACCACCCTCGGCGATAACCTCATCGATTGTTTTGAATTGATACGTGAGCGATTTCCGAATGCCACCAACTCCTGCTTTCTTCCAATTGCCGCGACGTTGTTTCGTGCCACCGGATGCTTCCTCAAGCGTTTCAGCATCATCTTTTCGCCGCTGAGCGTCGGCTGCAGATTCTGAAGCACACAACAAAAGTATTAACGGAATCTTTAGCACAATGAGGAAATAAATTGATTTGAGTTTCAAAANATCAATGACAATGAAACGTCAATATTAACAGACATTCAAAATTGTTTACCTCCAAACTTCGGTCCTTTCGATTCCTTACCATATGCACCAATTGCGGCACGTCCCGGCCGTAGCACTGCCTGAACGGGCTCCACGATTCCCTGCTTATTAGCGCCAAGAGAACGGGCTCCACGATTCCCTGCTTATTAGCGCCAAGACCTTGACCAGGTATGTATCCCATATTTCTCATCATTTTCATCAACACGTCAGTTTTCGAATGCTTCGCCCAATCGGCAAATTTATCCGGATCAACCGTACTGTGCACTGTTCTGCGAATATCATCATAACATTAATCATAAAAAGTGATAAAACGAATTCGGCATAATAGGGACGAACCAAAATCAAATATGTAAATCTGTTGAGTCAATACAAAAAAATTAATTGAGGACACCACTCTCGACTGTTGTGTTATGTGAGCAAAGAATCGATCTCCTTTGAAATACGATATTCGAGGACAATAAAATTTTAAATGTAATCAGTAAAGAAATTTTGCGAAACTGCAAACCGGAAGAGTGCAATGTAAGAAAAAGTTGAAACTCACAACGAGATTCACAGTAAAGAACGTCGTCGAAAATAAAGAAAAAAAACTCGGTCAATAAACGACAACATCAAAGAATATCAAAAAAACGAACGATGACCGCAGACCAGCGAACACATTAGCGCCCATCTGTCGTTTCGTTGTTGTACGACGTGTCCGATGTTGGTCGAAGCGAATCGGTTCATCGTCATCGTTCTCTTCTTTCGACTAAACATCTTCATTAGTGCAGTTTCGATTAAATTCAAGATCGGATAATAATATAATTTCATACACTATGATAGCAATGGATTGTGACCTGTTGAAAGGGGAAAATTTGCTGTGGTGACCCATGAGGAAAAAAGTCCAAATGAGAAGGTTAAGAGAATAATTTTCAGAAATATTTTGGAAATGCCATGGTGAATTATGCCTGGAAAGCATCATTAAAAAGACTGTCATTTCGGGTAGGCGATGTGTATACGTGCAACAACTCATCCTCACGTTATTCACCATTCAGGTACATTTAAACGTGATAAAATCAGAAGACTATTTGGACACTGACCTCTCCTTCGATGCGATTACCATGCTTAACACCACCACTGACGAACGCGACTGGTGCCGAGTAGTTCTTGCCTCGCTTTCCCGACCTCGTTGCCGATCCAAATCCAGCATGTGAATCCTCTTCGTCATCACTCTCTTCACGATCAGCCCAAATACCTATTGAATTTGAGGCTATTATCATTAGATCAACACATCAAATCATAATTTGTTACTTTTTTTACGAGATATCAGGCCATACGTCAAACCTTATTCATTTCAGTCAATTATAACTGATGAATTTCTGACGAAATGACGTAGGAATCCGAACAGACGATAAAAAGACGACAACGCAGTTAACGAATTAGAGACATGAAAACAGAAGTTCAAACCATAGAGTTGTTGATTTTTAGAAAGTCCACGTCTTGCGTCCGGATTGATCGCGAATTCGATATCGCGATCATCAATTTCAAATCTCTCCATGTCATCCTCTTCATCTGGATCAATATTCATCTTGACTTTCTTGTTTACTGACCACTGAAATGTGGCACAGAGTCTGCAATTCAAAAACTTTTACACTCTACATCAAATACAACATTCCAATGGATTCCAATACGTCGCTAGCAAAAATAAAACGGATTACTTATGCATTCAAACAAAGCATTGAACGTTCACAAGGTGAGGTGCTCATTACGACCAAACACTCATCCAGACCGAGGAAAAAAAGTGTGAACGATGCGTCGAAAAAAACATAGTGAACAACAAAACAATAAGAAAACGAGGTAAAAGAATACAAAAAAATGACGATTAAAAAACAAGAAACCATCAGGAAAAACAAACAACGAGAAAACAGTCGCTGCATAAATTTGAGAGAAATGTGATAATTCTTCGAAAAATGGATAATTTGAATCGAGGCGTTCGTTCAAGTGCGCAGAAGTTGTATATTCCCAGTACAAATATCGTGCTGAAAGATATCTTCTTTGAATAACGTGAACGCACGTAATGATGATCAAATTGAAATAAGATGATGGATTAGTATGGGCTTAGGCTCAGACTGAGGCTCGTATGGGGTGAAGTGTCAATTGAACGGACTGATGGTTCTATCGTGCTGCAGTGAGGTTTCCAATAAATAGTTAGTGCATCGATATGAGCTTAAGCTTAAGATCAAACGCAATCCGTCGCAATTTGACTCTACCTATCGGTCAGTCATGGCTTGAATGAATATCTTAATCACTCTTATCATGGAACTTACGCAAACAGTGCGTATTTGTTACACAAACAAGCCTCTCAACTGATAATGCCCAGTTTCGTAACATACTGCTGAACGCAAGAATTTCAAAATTCGGAACTAATGTGCAAAATTTTGATGGAGATTTCCGATCATGTTTCACTGATTGAGAGGACACATTTGAGATGTGATCATTTTCAATAATTTATCATAACCACTTCTGAGAGTTTTCTCATCTCTCGTTAATGGTCACTAGTTTTTCATCCACTCTGAAATCCGGCGATGTGCAATAGCGGGCTATTCCACTTAGCGAAACTTAACAAAATAGCAGAAAGCTGTTCCGCTGCTAGCGAATTAGTCATTTCGCTATTTTGCAAAGTAGCGGAATAGCTATTCTCTGGTAAAATAGCTATTCCCTGACGATTTTCATACATTTATTGTGCNTGCTTGTAGTTGAGCTTAGGGATATGCAGAGGTTTACGCATAGTTCGAGCGATTCAAGGTAGACCCTGATTTGCGCTCCAGGTGGGCCGGGTGCATTTTATGGGTTATGGAAGCGCATCACAAGGCTATTATGGGCTATACCACGCTTCAGCAGTGAATGAGATAGACGGTTACCGGAAGTATTGTTGGTGGTTTGTTGTTGCGGTGAATAGTTTCTGTTGACCGCTGTGCGTTTGAGTCGTAAATGTTAATGAATGATCGACTTGCTTTGGTAATACAAGTCCGATGGTTCGCTTGGTTATGAGACATACAAAACGAAACCTATATCCTCTGTAAGAGTTGATCCATCGTTATGCAACCGTTTCGTTTGTTTTTGCATTCCTCGGGAAATTTCATGAAGGATTGCATCATTTGTCTGCCGTACTGTGAATGGAGTTGTCGTGCATGATTTCGTACTTATTTGAAAACACATCATCTTATTTCTTTTTAAGCTATCAACAGTTCATTTCTGAAAATCTTTATAACTGACTGGTACGTTGAAGTAACGACATTTCGGGGAAGTTGAAGGGTGGAATTGTCAAAATTTTGAGTCAAGGAATCTGTTCCGGCTAAGAATATCGTGAAAAAAGTGTCTGTCAAATGAGCTTCTGCCCTCTTGTGTTCCACTGCTTACATTGGGAAATTAACTACGGCGTCCTCGTTGTCAGACTACGCATAAATTTAGAATAAGTTGATTTTGATACCTTCCCATCTCAGTCCCCTATAATTTTATCGATTTTTCCGAACATGTGTGAAGAAATTGTAAAATAAATTGGATTTTTCTTTTTCTAGAAGAGCGAACTTCACCAAGGGATTCTATTTTTGTTTGCTGGTGATTCAAGTTCATGTAGGAGCTTGTTGTTTATCTGGAAGCGTCATTGCGGTGTTGGTAATGTTGAGTGTAGGTTTTTGCTTCATTTGCTAATGTTATTTTCCAGATTCTTTTGATCAGCAAGTGGGAATAAGTTATCAGAAATGGCATGTGGTGTTGCACTAAAACGTCCGTACGATTACGATGAATATTTGAGTGCCGAAAATGCAGGTGATGCAAAGCGTGCACGACACACACAAGCACATTGCTCACCGTTCCGTGCCCAGATCGGAACTATTGCTGCCTCTTTACCGGCGAGTAACAGCAGTAATAACAGTTCTTCATCAGCTCTTCTTCAACTTAGAGATGCAAATGTAAGTATCGCATTGTAAATGATTTCGTTTCACATTTTGCGTGATGGTTTATCTGCACTCAGATCTTATAAAGTGCCTTTTTGAAGTTAGTTCCTTGTAAAGTGACTGAACCGGGATGGTCTATTTTGAAGTAAATTGCTTACATTATGATGATTGCCTGTTTGTCAGTGGTAGTCCTTTTCGCGCACCTAGATGGATGGTTCAGAAAGACCCATCTTTTATTAGCTACACTTAGGGTTTTCAACATCGTAATGGCAGCGTATCATCTTTTGGCTTCCTTAATTTTTATTTCATCGGAAGTGGTTTATTCCATTCCTTGATTTCTGTTACTTTGGCTTTGATTTTTAAGTATTCCACGAGAAGTGGTCTGTTTCGATTTCAAATATTTCTGTGAAAGATCTCAGTTTTGAATTTGTTGCGATGTGATATTTTTTCCAGGAACGTGATGATAGCGATGTCTCACCGTTTGCGTCGATTTCCGGTCGTGCACAGTTATCTTCTGGCCAGCTGGAGTCGTATTTGCGAGCTGAGGTTCGTAATTATTTCGTGTTATTGCATTCCGTGTTATTTTATTGCATTCTGGGCAGGGTCCGCATTACATTTCACTGATATTTAAATCAGCATTCTCCGTGCTACTTTAAAACTTAACATAAAAAATGATAACATAAAAACTATCATGAGCAGCTGTCGTCAAATGGATGTTGCAATGTTTTTAGCGCTCATAGAGGAAAATTTCTCAGTTTGATGGCTCACGATTTGGGCGAGATTTGATGCGTTTCACTTAGCATTACTCACATTGCATGTATTTCTCGTTGAACTCGTACACAATGGATATGCACTGAAAAGAGAGGGTGAAATGTTTTTGAAATAGCAAAAAACACGTGATTGACTTATTTACAGATTCGTTATTTGAAACGTCGTCAATTGATTCCGCGTCGTAAGCTGAATGAATCAGCAACAAGCCGTGACGGTCGTCTAAGTGAAAGCAGTGATGCAGTTGGGTCAGGACCACCGGCTAAGCAAGCCAATTTATCCGGTGGTAACTGTTCGGGTGCTGCCACAGTTCAACCTTCAGATGCAAGATCATATCGTATGGCACCTAATTCACCTTCGGCTAATGTTAGTTTGAGTTGCTTCCGTTGTTATGTGAAGTAAAACTGCAGATATGCATATGTACATCATCAGGCATAGGTATGTCCAATGCTACGATAACATGTTGCTTATTGCTATTCGTGAGGGTAGGGATCATCTGCGTGTGTCTCTTCATTTTTATGGATCAGTATGTGTGGAGTTTGTGAGAATTTAGGAGGATTGCGATCTGTTTAGATTCCGCGGTTCTCCCCATACGCTTAAGCTGTACACCTCTTTTATGGAGGTGGACGTTCAACATTATTATTGATGACATGCAACGGTTTGATTTATAAACATTTGTCAAACTTCAGTCGGGCAGTGAGTCAGACGGTGAGAGTTCAATGACAGTCACAGGCTCAATGAACAGTCAGAAGATCGCATCTGCACTTAATTTATACGACAGACCTCAATTCTCTCTCAAACAGGTTTGTTTGCTTTTTTTTTCACTGCTACGTTCCAATAATCGGTTCCGATATTCGGCTTGATGAATATATCTGTCTAAATCATAACTAGTTTACATTTGTCCAGCATCATCAGTACCACGCATATAATTTTTTTCTTTGATTGTCATTCGTGCGTTCACTCGGCTGGCGATGTTTCCGCAGGAAATCATCCGTTAGGAAGCATTATATCGACTTTTAGTTTGGCGAACAGAGAGGTGCAAAGGCTATGTTCTTTTATTGTCCAATAATCCAAGCAGTACCTCGAAATAAAATGAGAAGATTCTTCCATTTGACAGTTCCAGAACTGTTGTTGTTTTCTCCATTCTAAAGCGATTAGATATTGATAATTGAGAACTGGTTTCAGGTACAAATGATTTGTGAAAGGCTGTTGAAACAACAGGAAGTACGTCTCAGATACGAATACGAAACTGTACTTAACCAACGTTTGGACGGTATTTTCATTCTCTTATCGTTAGATTCACTTCCGATTTCACATCTGTTCTCTTTTATAGTTTCATTTAAGTGTAAATGTCATAGGTTTATTTTTGAAATGCTAAAGTGGGAAGAGTAAACTCTAATGCAGTCACACGACGCCTCAATTTATTTTTTCGTTGCTTCCGTTCAGAATAAAACTGCGAAAGAGTTTTGAAATTTCGGGTTGGTCTTCAGTCGAATGATCCATCATTCAACTTGAAGTGAAACTTTTCTCTATGAGCAGAACACAAGTGAACATGGGAATGTATTCGGGATTAAATATGTTAATATTAAATATGTTCTACGTAACCTTGCAGAGCAACACGAACAGTACGTTCAGTTTGCACGTGAACAACTGGAGAGACAGCATCAGGATAGCAACGCAGAAATTTCGTATCTTTCTTAAATGATCAAGACAGCCAACTACTTACAACAGTTCGTTCATCCCTTTCCCAAACGTGCTACCCCGGAATCTGTCGTTATCATCATATACTCCTCTTCATAACCATTATTAATTCTCCAAATTGATCACACTGAATTCATCCCTCGCTGTTTGTTCTATTGTTGGTAAAATCGTGTCAAGCGTTTCTTTTTTGGTTTTGTATCTAATAAACATAGTTTCTTTCTCTTCATTACAGGTTCTTCTCATTGATGTGACTGTAAATATTGAAATTGCTTCCGAATTCTCCATTTCAGCTCTATCATAATAGTACTGTATAAGGTATAACGTATCTTCTAAGAGACAGTTTCGGAATATCAGTAATCTACTATGACGTTTTCTTCTCAATTTATGGAGCCTTCGAATAGTTGAATATTTGTATACTTGAATTTTTAAAAGTATTATCTTATGACATGGTATCAGTATGACATTTTTTGTTTGCAGTTTCTTTGAAGCGATATCATGGTGATTTGAAAATCATATAGAGTTACTAAGGGGAGTGAATGATTGCTTAGCGTTTGTTGTGATATTAATCTTATCGATCACCTGCAATGACTTGTTTTTCATCGATTATTTTTCGATGTGTTATTGGCGAGTGGTGGTAGTTCGATTGTGCTCATGTGTACAGCTGCTGATCCGATGTCTATAAACTGATAATAACACTCAAAAATCGCTAATCGTTGCGCATAAATAGCATTTCTTTCTCGCAGGGTTGCTGTTCTTTACGAATGATCGGAGTGTTGTTATGCTGTTGTGTTCTCGTGTATCGCTATCATCTAATTGAATATATCCTTTTGTTGTGATTAGTTTTGTTTTCTTCATCATTATTGATTGTGTATATCATTCTCTCCGAATTTAGTAGTTACCTTCCAGATGAGGGCTGAATTCACCTTGCATATTTCAGTTTACGTTTACTGGCTTTTGAAATTTTTCGAGTAAACACGAAATAATGGTTGATGAGTGTGTTTGTGCGTATAAGTATGTGTAGGATTGTTTCGTTATTGTAGCTGTTACTAGTGAGATGTTCTACCTGATGCGTTTGCTAGGTGCTGGGTAAGAATATTGAATTTCTGGAATGATGCAAATTACTCTTTATCGACCTGAGGCTTTCCGAAAGCCCATTGGCATAGTGAAGTTTGCTTCATTAATATTTGGAATATGAAACATTCAAGAGAATTTTGTGATACAGTGGCATGTGTGAAAAGCTCCAAGCACTACATTTTTCAAAATCAGGCGCCCAACCAAATCATAGTGAGGAAATTCTTGGCTCATATTTCATGTGAAAATTTACTGATACTTGGTGAAAGGTTTGGCAAATTTGGTTAAAGGTCTGATTGATATTGACAAAATCGACGATGAAAATGAATGACGTGTGTCATAACAGTGTTAATGAGTTTTTGAGGTATTTCATTCATTCGACAGTTATATCAATGGTCAGAAATTCAATTGTTCGATTACAAATTTTTTTCTCGATCACTTATTTCCATTTGCTCTGTTTTTACGCTTATTCAATTTTCCTTGGCAAAAACAATCAGTTTACTGTGTATTACTTTGTCGTCTCGTATTGCGTGATGAATTTTATTCGCTTGATTCAATTTTATGTCGTTTTCGGTTTTATCATTGATGCATACGTTGTCTGAGTATTTCATTATTTTTGTTTGTTTAGTTCAATTGCGATCA